TCTGAAAAACCCTAACCCTAAGCCTGAGAAACCTTAACCTAGACCTAGGGAACCCTAGTTCTAAACCATCCTTAGGGCACAACAACCCTTTAAAATCAGAGATTTTCTAGTCAACTTCTAAATCTGAGAGGCAAAGAGGACTTCAGTTCTGATACGGGCGAGCCCTCGAAGGCTCGGGGGTCTCGGGCCATCCGGCCTAGTTTGGTATTATTCTCTTACCTTTTCTTTCTTCTTCTTCTTACTGTTTTGATTTTATTCTGATTAATTTTGGTTAGTTTGTTTCTTTGAACTCTAGTTTTAATGTTTTGGATCATGTTGGCTCAACAACAGATCTGATAGCAGATCTGCTCGTTTCAAGGTAGATCTGGCGTCAGATCTGAAGTCGATTTGTCCCACTTTCTCTACCACATTATTTTTATCAATTTAAGGTGTCAAAATCCGAGAGATCTTCATCAGAAGATCTGTCCGATTTTCATCGTAAACAACAAGATCACGCTAGCCAAGACTCACAACCAAAGAGATGATAAAAGAAGAAAAATCAAAATTAGGTGGAAAAAAAACTTTCGTTCAAATATAAAAAATAGGGGGCATTATAATCTTGACACCCAAGATTAACCTTAATACATGTGAACTAATTTTCTCACCACACAACTCTCTTTAATAGAAGTTCTTACAACCATATTTACAACAATAACTCCCCACTTACAACAATAACTATTAACTTACAACAATAACTAGTAACCACCTAGTAGTTCCATAACTTCTTATTACTCAAAATTACAAATTACAACCTCACTACATCACTTATAATAAGTAAAATAAATACTAACATAATTTCTAAAAAATACACTTTAACAATCGTAATAGAGAGATGCCTTGGTGATATGTTGGTGATTGAAGGCGACTTTCTCAATGTTATTAACTGGTGTAATATGATGTCAAGCCCCCCCTGACGTCTTAGACCTTTGTGATTGCAGGTTGTGGAACTAAAATTGTCTTGGTCAATAAGCTTTGATCATGCATATAGAGAAGCGAATGAGACTTCAGATGGTATGGTGAAGAGAGGTGCCTTGTTATATTCTTTGATTGTGTCATCTGCAATGTTTTGAGAAATGTTTTGAAATTCCTTTTTCGTTAATGAAAAGTAAATACTCTTGTAAAAAAATAAAAAACAAAGAATATAAACCAAACCATACATCTAAAATGGCTGTGCTAGAATATCTTACGGAGTGATCTTTGTTGCATTAACGTTTGGAACTCTTAGAACTGTACTGCAGTTTATGGGTTCAAGTTCTATTATAAATTCATAAGAAGAAAATGCAAAAGCTAGATGGAAGGGACATTATCTTCAAGACCAATAAAAATAAGGATATTTTATCATTTAATAATGATGTTTTTTTTACTTGTAGTTATTATCACATAGCTTTCCTTATTGAAGCCGGAAACAATATCTTTCTAAAATTGCAAAAGTCGTTCATATAACTCTGAAACCAGAAAATCTAAATAGGTTCTAGAGTATATACAATCCAACTGACAGCAGAAATAGAAAATATAAATCATTTGAACTAATTAACAATTGTTTTTGCTGCATTTTTATCTATAGCTCAAACCACTAGACACCTACATGGAATTATGCTTGTATTCAAATTTAAGTTTTGTTTACCCCTCCCCCTGTAAAAAAAAAATAACTACCTAATTCTTTTAGTGTTAAGTACGAGCAAAGTCCTTTAGGCACAAAATCAATTTTTAAGGGTAGTCAAAAAGTACTTGCTGTCGAAGAAGGTGATATAGGATTGGATAGGGAATATTAAACCTTGAATGTGATGATATAGGATTGGATAGGGAATATTAAACCTTGAATGTGATGAAATAGGATTGGATAGGGAATATTAAACCTTGAATGTGATTTTCCTAATAATTCCGAGTCAATTCCCAAATATTGAGGATGGTTCCATTGGTCAAGCATCCGCTTTAACTAACGACGGATCAAGAGATCCTATCAAATGATGTCCAAATTTGATGAATTTTGGATTGAAGGCATGTAATGATCAATCATTAATATATAAAAAGTTTCACCTCAATTTCATATAAAAAGTTTCACCTCAATTTCATATGTGAAATTGATATGATGAGGGTTCAATGGTTCAAGCTATTAAAGGCTTTTTAACTAATGACGTCTCTCAAAACCTGTCAACTTATACTCAAACTTCCCCAATATAGTGTAGATAGGCATATAATGGCCGTGGAAATATAGAATCCATAGTTTGATCTCAAAAGAGGATTTAGACAACCTATAAGTGTGTTCAACAATTATGATTCCTTCAACTGATGGGGTTTCTTAAAACTTGCCAACTTATATACAAACTTCCCCATATATCGTGTGGAGAGGCATATACTGGCCTTGGGATTATAGGTCCCATAGTTCGGTCTCAAAATGAAATTTCGTAACAACCTTTGAGTATGTCCGATGTTTAACGTACATGGCGACCGGCGGCAAAACTTTCAAGGGTACTAGGGTCTTAGATGACAAGTTCTGACTATATGAGTCCTCTTGATATAATATTTGAGACATTTCCACAAATAATACCAACTGTCACATTTCATATGGTCCTTTTGTCCATTAAGCATATATGTGTTTGACGACCATTCAATTCCTATTTCTAGACTAATCCCATCTCTTGAATTTTTATGTTGTTTCTTGATTCTAGGCGTCCACAAATCACCCCCCACAGTGACAATTGTAGTGACTGCACATGTGTAAGACCTTCTAATAAGGGCAAAGAGTTTGACATTATAATGGAAATCCTAAAGAAAAATGTAATTGTGTACATAACCACCTCACTTATGTGGTACCAAGAAATTGGTTGCACACACTATTAAAAACTGGAGGGAAATTCAATTTTGATATATTGCTGTAAAATATGCCAAATTACCATAAGGGCAACCCCCAAATGTTTTTAAGTTTATTAAATGTGTGGAGCAATGGTTTAAAAAACGGATCGGTGATTCGGATCGGGCTTCCAAAAAACCGATCCGGATCGGCGAATCGGCGATCCGGATCGGGAATCGGGTGAATCGGTCAGAATAAAGCTTAAAAAAAATTCGAAAAAATTATTAAAATTCATTATAAATATTTTTTTTTAGG